AAGGGTTTTTTTTCTGCACTGCTTCTTGCTTTTCCCTTGATTGTAGAAAAATTATGTTAATGCAGTTCTACCTTAATGCTGAAATAAGTTTGTTCCTATTAAAATAGCATATGACTTTATGCTATAAATAGAAACATTCTTGTCTTACTGGCAAGGAAGACAAATCCAGTGATTGTTTCAATGTACTTAGAAACAAAATCAAATTCAGTATAAAAAAATTCTACAATTAAAGTTCCCTCAAGACAGGCTCCTCTGACAGTTTTTGACATGAAAATAATTTCAAAAGGAAGAAAAAAGCAAAATTACGTTATTCATTAAAAAATAGGCAGGAAACTGCAATGTAATTAGAAGCATGATCTTTAGTGAACAGTAGAGATCCTCAGTGAGGTTACTATTGCATCTATTACCCAAGAATGAGGATTTAGAACAGGAAAAGGAAAAAACATTATTTTCATTTGGGAAAAAAAAAAACCCAAACTTCTCACACTTTCTCTTGCTTGAGTATTTAAAAAGTTAGACACCAGAATGTGACAGTCTGTTTTGACTGATCCACAAAAAATGTAGAAATTAGAAGAAAAACTTCAGAGGAGTTTAGATTGTCAGACAAACAGTTTCTGTCACTGTTGTAAACAAAAGTGAATTCCAGAATAGTGACTCTTCATTCTGTACTTGCATCTTAAGTTGACAGATTTGTTGGAATCAAGGGATAAGCATTTTTGTTGTTGAACTTTTATGAAGGAAAGACCTGGATTTTGGGGGAGGGAAATTTTAAAATTCAATAACTGTTTTAATATATCTGTGCTGTTTATGATAGATTTTTCGAAGCATTCATTTATTATGTATCTTTGCTCTCTGAATTTTTCATTTTTATGCAGTTAAATTGACATTTTTCTATTAAGTTTTTCATCTTTTTTCCTTCACAACATTTATATTGACTGCTCCAAATTTTTCTTCTGGTTTCCTTCACTTGGTAATCTCAAGTGAAACATGCATGTATATGTATATTTCAATATGTGTGTAGAAAGACAACATATTCTTATTAATTATTATCTAATTAACTCATCAGTTAATTCTTCTGGTCCCTATTAGATTTGAATCTAGACCATGCTTACTCATATATTCAGAGCCATGTGAATGAAGACAGATTAGAAAGTAAGCAAAATAGAAGTTTTGAGATAAAAAGCAAAATATTATGAGTTAGAAGCTATGTATTTAAGTTACTTTTTTAGTTTATAAAATCTTTGGATAACAATGGACAACTAAAACAAAATGTTATAAGATCCAATATAAATTAATTTTGAACAAGGGAATTTCAGGCTACTTCTTATTTTAAGACATCATTTGTCCTAGTATTTGTGACCTTTAGAATGTATAGCTCTCCCTATAGCCACACACATGTGCAGCATGTACATGCAGGACTGAAATCAGCCTTGAGTCTTCAATACCAAAGCGTTCTTGCTTGTCAGTAAGTCAAAGTACATGTGCATGGCTTTTCCAAGGATAACCATGTACAGACATATTCTAATATTTCCAGCACACCACGTCCTGTCAACATGTTGTTGACATGTCATGACCACTGGAGTGGTCTCCAGAATAACATATTCATATTCACGTTTGCATGGCAGAGGAATTACTCTTTGGATTAATCGACACAAGTGAACTGTCTACAACTGGCACCATGCAGAAATAGGGGGAGATATCCAAACTGGGAATGTAGGGATACCAGGAGTATTTAATTTCAAAAGTACTGCATAAAACCAGCACTAGCCTGTATTGGGATATTACATAGGTCTTTCAGTAAGTGAGTACTCATGAATATGTATGTATAGACAGTACTTCTCACTTTATTTTGGGAAAAATGGGATCATAATGAAATAAATTATGTTTAATGTCATTGAATTGGAATATCTTATTAATTAGTATCCATAAGGGGCTGAATTTACACTAATTAAAGTTTTTAAAGGAGTAGGTCCACTCCTGTTAAGCAGAACTCTCCCAGATACATTTTACCCACAGCTTTGTAATGGAATTTACATCAGCATTAATAAGAATTAAATCAATAGAAACTTATTGAACAGCATTGAAGGATATTTTAAGCTCCCTGTTTTAACATTATGTTAAAAAAAAAAAAAGGAAGACAAATATGTTCATACATACCTTGTTTACAAAATTAAATCTAGGACAAAGAAAATTCCTGCTTGGAGAGAGATTGAAACAATTGGGGCAGCTTGCTTTGAAAAGGAGATGAGGAATCATACACAAAAAATGAAAAAAAGTGGGAAGGTGTAAAAAATTCAAATACGCTTGCTTTCAGACTCCATGAACAAGGAGAAGTTCAACCAAACTACAAGATGGCAAATTTAAAAGGAAATAATTTCCCACTCTTCATATCATTAGTGATTATCAAAATGTCACTGAAGTCAAGAATCTGTGCAGAGCTGAATAAAAATTACAACCTTGTTTGGCAACTCCTGTGCTCCCTGACAGATGACAATCTTAAAGTAACAATCCATAGCTTTAAATGTCAGGGAGTTGGTAGTACAGTCTCACATTCAGTTTGAAAATAAATACTACCTCTCAAAGACAAATGCAGTTTCTGGATAAATTTTCTCCCTCTTGTCCCCAAATAAGGAACCTGTAGATGTTCAAAATGAAAATACTCACAGAATAAATTAATATACATAAAAGTGTACAATTTATTTTTTCTACTCTATTATCTAGAATCAGGAACAAAATGGCTTGAAGGGTTAGAAGTAGTAACATACTCCCAGGCCGCTTTCATAAATTTAAAAAGTTAATGAAAAATGCCAAGAATTCCTTTTACATGAGTCATATAGAATTGCAACTTGAAAATTAGTTTTATTTTAGAAGGAGCATGATTTTTAATTAGTGCATTAAAATAAAATGTAATTTCACAAGAATAAATTGCCTTCTGTGGGTAATTCTTGGTGAGACAGCAGTAAAAGTAAAGGAAGCAATTTTAGGTACTGACATTGCTAATCTTTATATTTTTTTTATTTCAAAGGACAGGGAATCTTTCTGTGGCTTTTTTACAAATCCCTAAGACATACAGGCTTCTGAAAGACTTCATCTTCTGGGAGAAGTTGAAAATGAAAACACTGTACAGGCTGAGTTTTCAAGTTATAATAATATGATTCATATGATAACCTAAATCCACAGGATGATATTCTTACCTTCATTTTGACATGCTGTGATGATAAATAACAAATTGAATAGCCTTGAAAACTGTTAGAGGATTTAAAAGAAATTCTTTCACACAAATATGCAAGAGTAGCTGTAGCATTTCCTTCTTTGTAGAGCTTGCAAGCAGATTTGAGGGCAAGGGAGTGTTGTTTCAGCACAGAACGCTTCATTAAAACAGTGGTAAGAATATCAGAATATAAGAACATAAGAATTCTTTAGGTGAGCTTTGAAGTGACCATGGTGAGATAAACTACTTTCTTACTTCTGTGTTTTGTCATTGTGCAAGGTAATGAAAGTCAAATCCAAACCCACAGTTTATTGTGTAAGAGAAAGCAGGAAATAGCAGCAATGACATCAGTAACTAATATGCCTATTTAACATATTCACATCAAAGCATGATTGGTAAATAAAATCTTACAAATTAATTCATTGTTAGCATATACTTTATATGTAGTGTTTATATATGTACTTATGATTATAGTGGATTCTGCCTCTTAATAATTGTTACATAATTTTTTTTAATTGCTGATATAAGAAATCTAGCAGTATGTCCTAGTTCTTCATAGTTCTGGGCATTGAAGTTTGAGAATGTAATGAATTTTGGGAGACATACTGATTGTTTTAATAAGTGTTTATATCTTTTTTCTTTAATTGAAACCTATAGCAGCTTAGATATTTAAATATGTTGTGCACACACTCATGAGCACATCAGAGCTACTGAAGAATGTTTTAGTCACATGAAATTCAGGAAAAGATATTAAAACAATACATACACCATCCTCTCTTCTTCCACAATTTTCCTTTTTAGATTAAGGAAATTTGGTATGACTCCAAATACAAATTTACCTGATTTGCCTCTTCCCCTTTAGCATTAGGCTGATAATTATACTTGGTACAAGCTTTGAAGAGCTCAGGATGAGATTATGAAACATCTTTTGTTCACACTTGCACAAAATCTATGTTTTAATGTCCATTAACTAAAGGACTTTGGTAGCAAATGATTGAAAATGTTGTAATCAAGTTATTTATGATGCTGAACCAGTCAAAAGGGTACATGGTTGAAGTGTGAGTACCAGTTACTGAAACTGAACTCTAATTAATGGCCTCAGAGATCAGACTGAGAGCAGCCATGAGTCATTTTGGATTCTTAGTGGTTTAAAGCTCTGTATTATAGAAGTTACCGGGCCTGTGGTATTTCACATGATTAAATTAACTGATTCTTTGCTCAGAAATCAGTTACCCACAGTATCTCTTCTGTTTTCCTCATTATCTAAAATCTATTAAATCATTAAACAGCTTCCTGATCATGCTCAGGCTTATGCTTGTTACAATTTTCTCTTGTTCTGAATAATTTTATTTTTTCTTCTGAATTTTGTTCAGTTTGAATCTGATGTTCTTTCATGTTTGTATTACACTTTTGTTTATTGTTTCACATTTGTATAACTCAAAAGTCAGAAATATATCAAGTTGCTTTGTTTCCTGTTCATATGTAATGATTTATTTTGTATCAATTTAGTAAAAAAATTGCATGAATATATTGATAGCTGGAGCTTGAGGAAAACTTGATGCTTATTTTCATCTACCTTTGGATATGTGGGTACTTAAGCAAATGTTAATTACACTAAGTCACTAAAGGATTTTCAATGTTGAGGGTTGCATAATATCCATAAAAACAGTCTATCTGTCCAAAGCTGCCTTAATTTGTGTTCTATATTCCTTAGCAAAATGAAGCTTATATTTATAACAACATTTTAACTATAAAAATATTTAAAGTCATAAATATATATATTTTCCAGAATTACAGAGTAGTTCCTGTGGCAATCCAGGAGTTCCACCCAAAGGTATTTTGTATGGTACAAGATTTGATGTTGGTGACAAAATCCGATACAGCTGTGTAACTGGATATATTTTGGATGGACACCCACAGCTTACTTGCATAGCCAACTCTGTCAATACAGCATCGTGGGACTTCCCTGTTCCTATCTGTAGAGGTAAGACAAATCCTACAGTAATGTTCTTCAATATACACATTAGTATTAACAATTTTTAATCTCTGTATTAATATTTAAATTTTAAATTGTGGCTGAAGAACCCCTCTTTTGAATATTTTAATCTCTTGCTCACATATATGATGTATCTCAACATATATACCTACTAATTTTTAGGTCAATATTCTACTAAAATTATCATAATTTAAGAAAAATCTATGTTATGTCATAAGATCTAGATACCTAGTAATAAGTAGAATATAAATGTCTGTGTACAACATATGTGCGACTATGGGAATTTACATTTGGGATCTGTTAGTGCTTCCTAAGAACTGACTTTTTTTTGTCTAGTAGTAACTTGGCTACTGAGAAAACAGAAATATGAAACTGCCACAAAAACTGAGTTACAGGGTCATACCTCATTGTCAGTCAGGCTACATCACCTTAAGATTCCTATATAGGATATCCCTTGTATTCTAACAAATATTGTAGGTCAAATCCTTTTCCTTTGCTCATATTAGATATATAGCAGCAGTAGGACATCCGGTGTTATGGGTAAATCTTATTTGCTGAGAGAAATATTTTTAAAGATAATGTTTGTAGAGCAGCAAATGGAGGTTATGCCAATAAAATGAAAGCAGTATCACTGCTATACACAACCAAAGACAACATGTCAGGTAATATTGGGATTCTAGATTCACAGGTTAATTTTACAAATGCAACATTTATATTTGTCTGGAAACATGGATGAGGCATTGCAGAGGCTACAGAAATATTCCAGCTGAAATTGCCACTCTAATAAATACAGGTTGGTTAAAACATAGTTAACCAGCACTGCAAAAAATTGATTATGTATGAGAAAATTTTGTCATTGGAAATACTGTACTTTCATTTCCTGTTCCTGGATTAGAGCTATTTAATATGCTTATCCATGCTCTTGAAAAACTTACAAACTTATTTTTAATAACACTATTTTCCAGGAAAAATATTTATAACCTATGAATCTTCTACTCCTACTTCCCAGAAAACTACTAGCTAATAATGAAGGAGATATAAAATCAAGGCATATATACAAATTTTGTTTCTGGAGATGAGAGTGCAAAAGATATGATGAGAATATGTTAACTTGCAAAAGACTTACATTTGTAACAAAATTGAAGTCTATAGGGCTCCATTGCTCAAATTCTCAATCTGTCAATTTTTAAATGAGTGGCATAAAAAATTGTATTCTTGAATGAGTTACATATTCTTCTTTTTGATACAAGATTTTTCAGGAGATCTTTGCATATATTTTGGTTTTGCTCCAAGGGGAGATGAAAATATACTCTGTAAATCTGAACTGGTATGACAAACTCCCAAAGTAGCCCTGTGGTTAGACATTACTAGTTTCTAAGAAGACTACTATATGAGAATATGAAAACAAATTTTTTAAACTCCTAATAAGAGATGTCATTATCTGCATAGTATTATTTCTTAAAGCAAAATAAAGTTTAAAAATTGGAAATTATTCAGAAAAAGAGAAAAGGAATTGTGTTAGGTTCCAAAATTGTCATTTTGTCTAGAGACTGAAGGACTCAAACTTCTGCATTCTCTGTGAAAGAGGATTAAGACAACAGCTTGGTTTACTGCAGAATCTCATGCAGAAGAAAAAAATTTTTTTGAGAAGACAATTCTTTAATCAATAGCATTGAGGAACTTAAGGGGTAAAAGTCTGATGAACAAAAAAAAACAAACAACAAAACAAGGTATATATTTTAATAGTGGTGGTTACAAATTACAGAAAAATAACCTAAGAATGCGACAGATTATTGATTTAAATCTTAACATAATGGCTTAAAGCCTCAATGCACAAATTTTTGTTTGTTTTTTTGGGCCATGTCCAATAAAAGAAAAATAACCAATTATTTCCAAGAGTTCCTTCTATGAGTCAGTATTTTATATCAGAAATATCTAACTTTATATATAAAACAGACCCTTGTGATTCCATTAAATCTCTCCTACTTTTGCCTAATACAATTATCCAACACAGAATTCTGCAAAAGGTTGCTAAATGTGATTATGGACTAATGAGCTTCTTATCTCTTTCTTACTGTTTGCCATGGAGACTCTGATTAAACACTCATCTTTAAAGATCTCCTGTGATAAATGTCTTATGGTTCCCTACCAATGGTTATTGCATCTAACACAGAGGATCCTGACATAAGCAAGAAAAACCCCGAGAACAGAAAAAAGTATACTTTATTCAGTATTAATTGGAGGGTTGTTTGTTTGCTTGTTTCTTTTTACATTTCCAGAAAAAAAATTGAATTTGAGGCACACTTAGAAGTCAGCAGACTTAAGATCATAGATGTCTGTAGATCATCTGTGTGTAAACATCGTTCTCATCTGCCTCTTATAAATCAGAACAATTTGAGGAAGTTTTGTTTTTCTTAGTATTTAAAATAATTCCTCTTTCATTGTCTTCACTTTAAATGAAGAGATGGTGAAGAGGTCATGCTTGTGCTTTAGTAATGTGATTATTATGGATTGATGTCTCAAAATGGGGAACTACATTGGAAACAGCAGTTTTGTAATGTCACAAGCATGATATATATATAGGATATGATATATATGATATATATATATATGAGATATATATATATGATATATATATAGGATACCCTACTAAATGCTTTAATTTTTAATTTATTAAATTATACCAATATTTGCAGTTTTAAAGTTATATATTTTTGGGGCAAATTTTGTTCATGAAGAAACGAATTATTCCTCAAATAGGTTCTTATTCCTTTGCTTGTCTCCATAGGATTTCACTGAAAAATCAGCAGACATATTTAATGATTGATTTATTTCATATTCTCTTTCCAAGTGAACACTGAATGCACAAAGTTTTTTACCTGCATGATTTGATATTCATTAAAATATTGTTACTTTATTAGATTTATTAGAAGTGGAAAAAAATTCCCTTATTATAAGAAAGCTAAATTGTATCTATTTTTTGTGGTCAACTATGGAGTAGAGTTGCTCTCTATATGAGACAACACTTGAAATGTACTGACATCTGCCTTGAGATGGATGGCAAACTAGTTGAGAGTTTATGGGCTCAGATCAAAGAGCAGGTTAATAAAGGTGACACTGCTGTGGGTGCTTACTACAGGCTGCCTGATCACCTGGAGGAGGAAGAGGCTTTCTCCAGGCAGCTTTAGGCAGCCTCAAGGTCACAGGCACAGGTTCTTAAGAGGGCCTTTATCTACTCTGCCATCTGCTGGAGAAGCAAAGCACAAATAGTCTAGGGTGTTCCTTTGACAGCCTTGATGAAAATCTCCTGTCAAGGTAGTAGAGGATCCCACAAGGAACGGTGAGCTGCTCAAGCTCATATTAACACCATCTCCTTCTTGGAGATGTGAAGGTTGAGGGCAGCCTTGACTGCAGTGACCATGAAAATGTGAAACTATTTATCAGGAAAGGAGGAAGCAGGACAGCAAATAAGACTACAACCATGGACTTCAGGAGAGCTGATGTCAGCTGCTTCAGGGATGGTCTTGGAAGAATCCCATGGAAACAGGCCCTGCAGGGAAGAGGAGTCCAACAGAGGTAGTTGATATCCAAAGATGACTTCCTCCAGAACCAATAATGATGCATATCAATGAGCAAGAAATCAGGCAAAGCCGGAGGGAGACGTGCATGGATGAACAAAGAACTCCTGTCATTACTCAATCATGAACAGAAAATACACAGGAGTTAGACGCAGCATCAAGCCACATGGGATGAATATAGAGAACTGTCAGAGTAAGTAGAAATGAGACCAGAAAGTCTGAGGCCCATCTGCAATTAAATCTGGCCAAGGATGTCACAGACAACAAGAAGGGCTTCGTAAAACACATGAAGGACAGAAGAAAAGAAAAAGGATAATGTGGGCCCATTAGTAAATGGAGGGTGACCCTGGTACCAGGGATGTAGAGAAGGCAAAGCTATCAAATGCCTTCTTTGTCACTGATATGACCAGCCCTCAGGGTTCTCTGACACAGAACAGGGTGAAGGAGTCTTGGAAAGAAAATTCTCCCTTGGTGAAGGAGGATCAGGTTAGACAACACCTAAGCAAACTTGACATCTGCACGTCCATGGGGTCTGGCTGGATGCGTCCATGAGAGAGCGTCTGGACACCATAGTGAGGTCACTCACAGTCATCTTTGCAAGGTCATGGTGATCAGGAGAGGTGCCTTGGGACTGGAAAAAAGCAAATCTTACCTTGGTCTTCAAAAATGGCAAGAAAGAGGACACAGGGAACTATTGGCCAGTCAGCCTCACTTCAATCCCTGGAAAGGTGATGGAGCACTTTATTCTGAAGGCCATCTGTATCTAAATGGATGACAAGAAGGCAAGCAGGAGTTAGCATGGATACACTAAAAGTAAATCCAGCTTGACCAAACAGATTGCCTTCTACAAAATGAAACAACTATCTGGATCAACGAGGGGAGAACAGTGGATATTGTCTGCCTTGGCTTCAGCAAGGCTTTGACACTGTCTCTCGCAAAATCCTCTTAGACAAAATCAGGAACTGTTGACTGGATGAGTGGACAGAGGTCAATTAAGATCTGGCTGAGTAGCAGGGTTGTAATCAGTGGCATGGGGTCTAGTTGGAGGTTTGTCACTACCAGTATCCTCCAAGATTCCTTACTGGGCCCAGTATTGTTTAACTTACTCATCAATGACTTGACAAAAGGGCAGATGCCTCTCAGCAAGTTCACTGATGACACAAAGTTGGGATGACTGGCCAATACCTGAGTACTGTGAGACCTACAGAAAGACCTCGACAGGCTGGAAATACGGACAGAGACTGTCTGAAATTCAACAAAGGCAGGTGCAGTGTCCTACGCCTGGGGAAGAATAATCCCATAGACCAGCAAAGGCTGAGGGCTGATCTGGAAAGCAGCTCTGTGGAAAAAGACATGGGGGTCCTGGTGGATGCAATCCTGTGCCATGTGCTCTAGCTGACCCTGCTTGAGCAGCTAGTTTAGATCAGATCACTCACTCTGTTGCCTTCCAACCTTACCGGTTCTGTGATTCTTTGAATTATACTGTGCACAGTCCATGACCAGCTTTTAAATAAAGCCTTCTCCCCTGAAAAATTAATTTTGATAAGGTTGTTTTTAATCATGAAATGTGACAGAAGCTTAATTATATCACCTATTCCTGAGCTAATGTTGCAGCTAGCAGTTTCTCCATAATGCAGCGAGCTAGAAACAATTTACTGACGGTAATAAATAATGCTACATTTATATAAATGTATAAAATAGATAATATATATTATAATATATTATATGTATTATAATACATTATATTTATATATTTATAATATAAATATATATTATATTGTTATTATATAACATTATGTAATATTTATATGTAAAATATATAATATTTTCATTCTATAAAGGTTATAAGAATTAGGCACTTTCATAATCAAAGAAGTATTCTGAGTTTTATGTTTTTTAAAGATTTCTTATTCCATGCTAAAATGGGTTTTGAAAGAATCTCCATTCTAAAATTTAATTTTTTAAAATTCAGAAATTTCAAGTGCAGAATACAGTTGTATTTGAATTCCTACATGTTCTAATAAAATATTTTCACTATTGCCTTTACCTATAGCTACAAAATAACTGTCAATATAAAAGTTCTGCTTGTATTTTCAATGAGAGGCTTTGTTTTTCTACTTGTCTAAATACACAAGTGTTGATCAAAGAAGTGCACAACCCACTGACTAGCTTCATTTTTCTATTGACAAAATGCATTTCTGCTTTCTTTATCTGGGAGGATATTAAGTAATTTCTTGCATATATTGTCATGGCAGGTAAAAGGCTGAAAAGGTTCATACTAAATTCTGAGTTTGGGAATTCTGTAATTCCCCTGCAATATATGCATATATATGTATGTACTTATAAAGATGTTTTGTTTTACCCATCTGTACAGATGTATACTTAATTTCTTCTTCTTCAGTGGATTTATTCCAAATGAACTGAACTGAGATACTTATAGGCTTTTATTTTTAAAAGTGATCTAACAGGTGTCAAAATTGAATTAGAATATTCAGCTCACTATTTAAATATTTTGCCATTTTTTCTATGCAGAACTCACTGGGCTGAAAAATTTGTTAATTTTAAGTCACTGGTTTAATTGTGTAAGTGCACACATACATGACTATAAATATTTCAACTCCATGAGGTAAGTTTTAGGTCAGATACAACAGAAAAAACATGTCTCATGGACCGTCCAATACGCTTTTCTTTAATGGTTGTACTTGTACATATATTGCATAGAATAGTATGGAATTTTGAAAACAACTAAAATTAAACTTCACATAATTACCAACAAATAATCATATGACAGTGTAAGCATTTCAAAGACAGATATATTTGGTTGCAGATGGAAATCATGTCAATGATTTTCATTTTATGAAATCATGTCAAATATGACCAAGTAATATAAGCAGTAAAATAAGATTACTGCCTTTGCATCTTTGTTATAAGCTGGTCTTTGTAGGCTGTGGAAAGAACAAAGCAGGATATAAAGTCAAAGTACTGCACTTGATGCCATGTAGTGCATTAACTACTGGAACTGACAATATACACAGAGGAAAATAGAGTGCACTAACTTAAAAGCAGGAATAAATTACATCTCACTGGGAACAAACAGTTTTCTGCCTGAAGCTACTTCTTATATACAAATAGATATTCTTGCTTATTCTTGGGAAAAGCCCCAGTATAGCTGTGTGCATCTGGATAAGAAACATGTTGGATTATTTGAGAAAATGGAAAAGAAAATAATTTTTTTCAGAATTATGTATTTATATATATGCAATTATATAAAAGCAATTTTTCAAAGCTTATTCCATGGATCCTTTTTGAGATATAACTAGTCAGTGGCTTAGAATGGCTAACACTCTCATGGTTGGTATTTAAAAAAATATAAATGGTCCACAAATGCCAATGCTGCTCCTTAGAATTAGAGACATTAACTAAGAATCTTTAGGGGAGGAAATGATGAAAAATATCTACTATTTTATTGAAATAGTAGAATAATGGTTGGGTGTTTTCAAGTGCCATGCTCTGTGCTTTCAAGCAGGGCAGAGAATATCTGCAAAATAATACCCCAATTACTTTTTGAATATTGAAACATACAATACCTTTTGTTGCTTTGAATTTTTGCAATACAAGAGCTTTGTGAGTTCTTTATTTTACCCATCTTTAAAATGTGTAATTTTTTAGACCAATAGAATCAAACTTTTCCATTTATGAAAAGCATTGAAATTGCTCACTACTGTACCCTACCACACTTGTATTTTCTCATTATATTAGTGTTATTCTCAGGATAGTACCTGATACTCACTATCAGGGACATTTAACCTAATGCACAGTCTGCTTGTGTGAAAAAAATACCTGAGCCTAAAGAATAGAAAATCTCCATGTGAATTTTAATTTGTGATCATAACCATGGATTTCTTATCATTGTAAATAGTGGTAAAACTTTGCTGAATTATGTGAAGCCATTTTAAGTCGTTGTGTTGTAAATCAAGAAATTGGCACAGAAATAGAAATGTTTACTATATTAGAATTACCATATACTCCTAATACTAATGCTACAATATATTAGTTTTACTGTACTAATAATAAAACCATGATTAGCAATAATATTATATATAGTGTCTGTTAAATGCATTCCTAACTCTGGAAATATACCAGCAATAATAATGGTGTAACACTGTACAGATTCCTTAAGCAGGCAACATTATTCATGAGGGTTCCATTTGGGTTTAATACAATCAATTCATGTCTAGAACCTGTGTTTCTTAATTTATGATAATGATGGTCAAATAACAAAGTTCTTAGGTTGGATGGAAGATTGTTCCCATGTGAAAATTTATGGCATGCAATGATATACTACTGTAGTAGTAATGACACTTGGAAAAAAATCACAAATTTTCAGAATACAATCTAACTATGGAAACTTTTCTAACAGAAAATAATTAATTTTTATTAGCTTCATTTTTTTATCAGTATTTACATTTTCAAGGTTTTGAATATCTTAAAATGTTATTCTTATTTTTTCTTTCTTTAAAAATGTATACCTCCACATCAGGATATTAATCAGAACATCAAAGTCATACTTTCATTTGGTTTACATAGTTTGGTTTTGCACATCTTTATGTGATTTCAGTAATTCCTATAAGTAGTGAAGGGAGTTCTCCTACGATCCACTAGAAACTTATATTATCAGTGGACTAAGCCTCAGGTGGTGTGATATAGTCCAGAATGAAAAGGTATATGCATCAAAGTAATTTAAACTCATCAGTGCAGTAACCATGTTAATTTGAAAAACAGGCCTCTTACACTACATCTCCAGACAGTATACAGACGACTGGGGAAAGAAGCAGAAATCCACTCTTTCTAAATAAATTAAATCCTGCTTAAAGAAGAAAAAAAGTATATGTCATTATTCCAGGAAGAGAACGTTTGGGAGCAGCTGTAGTTCACACCAAAGTAAGGAAAAGACAGACATAGCAATGCTTTATTTTGCTACTTTTCACAGGAAAAGTACCAGTAAGATTGAATTTAATTATGAAAGATTGTTATAACAATTGATAAAGGCAATGAAGAGGAAAAAAGAAAGATCAGATTTTAAGTTCAAGAAATCTAACCCAATCTTGAATACAATAAAACTTCTTGAATACCAACATCTTCAATTCCACCATTTTAAAGGTGGGAATTAGGACTTCTTACACAAATGGGTGGAAGTTGAATGGATGGTTTATGAAAAGCTTGAAAGACTGCTTTTATCTCCTGTTTTCTTAAATTTTTTCTTTATGAAGAACAAAGGACATAAAAGTTGTGCTAATTGCTAATTTTAACACATGCTATTGAAATTATGTTGCGAAATTTTCACTGAGGACAACATAACAGTGAGAATTTTACCTGAAACTGAAAGGGGTGAAGATCACTCTGAGCAATCAAGATGAGTGAATGGGAAGAAGGAATCTGGAAAAGTAAAATATTAGTTTAGCATTATGTTTATCATCAAAGCACAATACTAGAATTGTCAGTTACAACAAAGACTCGGTCTTTCACATCTGATTTATAACTAAATTCTTTATTTGTTAGAAACACCTAAAGACTATGCTAAGCCTATAGAATATATATACATTTATATATATATTGCAATCACATATTATAAAATTATATATCACATTATATAATTCACATAATCACAGCATCAGTGAGGTTGGAAGAGACCTTCAAGATTATCTAGTCCAACCATCAACCAAGAGCCACCATAACCACTCCTAAACCACATCCCCAGGTGCCACATGCAGATGCCTCTTGAACACTTCCCGAGATGGTGACTGTCACCTCCTGGGGAAATTTGTTCAAATCCCTAACCACTCTTTCGGCAAAGTTTTTTCCTAATATCTAATTTGAGCCTTCTCTGGCACAACTTGGGACCATTTCCTCTTGAGACATGACAGAAGAGACAGACCACCATATTTCATACTTCTTTCTGATATAATTGTAAGTATTATATTTAAAATTTTTATATGCATCTTAGAACCTGTAAGAACTGTGTAATTAATAGTGAAAAAAAAAAAGGTCTTTGTTTTTGATGCCTGTTAGATCCCAGTTTTGTCTTCTTTAGAGAACCATGAGGAAAACTGATCTTCTTCAGTATCAATACTTACATAATCAAGTAGAAAAAAAAAACCAATTTTAAACTAAGACCCATGGGAAACAGACATTTTGACGCACATTTAAGTCAGGTAGCAGTGGACAGGGGTCATAAATAAAGCACACAGAATGATGGGCACATGTGGTCTAATCAGAAATTATAAGGCAATCATACCTGCCTCAGGTCAGCTTGGGACACAAGCTGGAGTCACAGAAGAGCAACACTGTTGGAATAATAGATAGCACGACAGCCCAAATGGCTGGAGGTTAAGAAAGGATGTATGCAAACTTCTTAGAAGACAAAGATGCTGGTTGAGCCCAAAGAATGGGCTGGTTGAGGGTTTGTGGATCAGGATCAGAGAACACTAGAACAATCAAGGAACTCATTGTCAGTCTGTTAAACACAGGTGGATAAGGCTGAGGAAAAGTGTGAAGTGTTCTTTAAAGAGCTCAAGGGAGTCTGATTAGCAAAGAATAGCTAACAATTTTTGTGCTTCATGGATTGCAGCTCATAGTTACAGCATGCTCTTTCTGGTCTCTGGATGTGTCCAGTTATGCACCCACTTAATCTGTGAGGTTTATTTTAATTCTTGTTCCACTTTTTAAATAATATTAACATTTTTAATGAAAAATATTTTGGTTTTAGTTTTTCTGTTGATTGATTAGTTGGGTTTGTTTGGGATTTTTTTTCCAAAACATTAATTGTTGAATTCCAGGTAGATAGGCAAGACTTTTATCCTTCTGTATTGTCCATGGAATAAAACAATTTTGGTGAGGCACAAATTTAAGGGCTTCAATAGAAAAATTTGGCCAAACTCCCAGAATAATATGGTGTTTATTTACTGCAATCTATAAACCTCTAGGCTGGAAAAAAAGTGTGATGTCAAATTCCAATTTTCTAGCTATCTGAAGTAAGAAGCAAAGTGTATGCATCTATAGGAAAAATGCTGAGGTCTAACTCTTCATTGTCATTTACTCTTGCTTCATTTAATGCAAATACTGAAAAATGCAATATTTGGAGATTCAATCCTCCTGCATCTTTGAGAAACAAGTGAAAATGCTGAGTGGTTACTTCATGCCAAACTGAAAGAATGACGAAAATTGTTTTCTACATTTTTTTATCTGAACATGACTTTAAAAACAGAGGCTTATTAGTAACACTAATGATTGTTATTTCATGAGCAAACATTTGGGAATTTTATTTTAATAGAAGATGAAAGCTTAAAGGGTTTCTGTCATTTATCCAAGTCATGTGGATATTATCCATACACCAAGGATTTATAAAGTGTTCAGTTTCCACTAGGCACACCAAAGACTGGAGTCAAACGTTATAATCATTAACAAACACTACGCTTCTATCACCTGAGTCAGTCAAATTAAAATGACTGATACTCACTGAGCTAGGATTTATCACCTATAAATTGTACAGCAAATGGATTAAGAGCACTCCTTTACCGAAGGGAAAGAGCAGAAGAATGGACAGCACAATAATCAATAGCTGGCTCTCTGGATTTTCAAAGTACAACAATGACAGTTCTTCTCTTTCCTAATTCCCTGACAGGGAGGTCAGTTCTTTCCAGATAACATGCAGTTATGCATTAGTCATAGCAAAAGATTAATAACTCCATGGTGCTGTCATCTTTTGTGTTTGATTGCCAAGCTCCATTTTAAATACAGCTAAGTCAGCACAGTGGCTTGCCAACCATTTGCTCTTTCTAAATGTTCCCAGCAGCCACAGCAGGTCCAGTTATTCTTTATGTCCAGGTGCATGGTCACTCCATTATCCTCCTTTGCAGGTATCTGCGGCTGCTCAAGTAAGCTTGAATTGTGCAAGAAAAAGAATTATCTCTAACAGCTATATGTGTGTCTGTAGAAAAATTCCTATTATTAAAGGTCTTTAAACTATTTAAATTACTACTACTTAAAGTCTCTTAAAAGAGACTTTGATCTCCCATTTTTCAAATTTATGACTTGCTTTCTGAGTCTGTAAACTCTTGCCTTAAATTAAAGGCAGCCTCATATCAAGGCATATCAATGTTAAAGTCAGTCTCACATTCAGGAACAGTTTGATGGCACTTTTGGGAACTATTTCTCATGTTATTACAGGTTTGACATTTGACCACAGTCTTGGGCAGTTTTTTGTTGTTTTTATGTTGTTTTTTTGGGTTTTTTTTCAATAAATAGAAATGGACTAAACTATAATCAGAAAATAAAATATAGATTCAATATATGGTAAACATGTTCATGGTTCCTTTCATTTATTTTTCCTTCTGACCATCCTATATCAGTGGAACAAGGTCCTCCCATTTTGATCCTGTTTCATCTGGAGCTGTCTGGTAGAGTGGCTGGATATTCCAGTCATGTGTAGTTGACACAGTAAGGCGGGTTTCATTTCACTTTCTAACAGCCTTATAATTATCAGATGAAAGATATAATAAATTTGATACTTTCATTAAATATGTGAGACACAACCTGATTACTACAATTCTGTTCTTTTTACTTCTGTAGGTACCAATTGAAGGCATTTCCTTCTCTGTGCTAAGGATAATTCTCTTAAACCAAAAGGAAGTCTCTCCCAAATTCCTTTGCTGACGCAGTTCTTTGCACACCATACACTCAGTTCATTAGCAAAACAGAGAAAAGCCACCAACCACCTTAATGACTTTTACATTATTTTTCTTCACTTCATTCCCAATAGAGACACATTTTTCTGTTTGTCCAAAAAGCCTTAGTAAACCAGCTGTTTCTTTTCACATGCATAGTAATTTCCCACTGTTATTTTAAGAACTGTAGTTATCAAAGAGACCAGAGTATGCTCCATTCTTCTTGGACTGACTTTCAAGTATTTCAGGATGACAATTTAACCATTCATTTTGTGTAAGAATAAAGAAACTGCACCTGAGATCTTCTACACTCTGAAAAGTTTATTATAGTTTTCAATGGTTTTCTGTGGCTAACCTATCCATTCATCATTTCCTAAAAGGTGCTTAAGACATTTGTAAGCAAGTTATTTCTATTCATCAGTAAGAATTTTTCCCTTCACCTCCAGTTATTTGTATTTGGAAATTAAACTACCATATTACATTTAAACAATGTATTGGGTAAGTGTATGAATTTTGATTTCCACAAAGTTTAACTATGCAAGTAGTTTCCTTGGACAGACATTGAGTATACTATCTGTTCTACTAGTACTAATAAATTTTAAAGAAACTAAGAAATAGGTTTAATATATCTTAGAGTCTAAGAACCATTGCAGGAATGCATTTTTCAACCAAACTTTTTCTGCATTTTTGTGGGGTTTTTTAAAGGAAGGTGATATTAAAAACCTTGAACCTCAAGGATTTTTTCTTTTCATTTCTAAAACAAGAAAAAATATAATTATTTTAGTGATGTTTAATGAGTTTACATTGCAAAAATATATTAATGGACTTCTAGATTATAACTGCCATATTTTGGAGCATTTGCTGAAACACATTAATTTTTTCAGGGGGATTGGAGATTTCCATATTAGACTATCCACTGACTATGCTGCTTACTAAGTTATGTTTAGCTGGTCTTTCAGTGTTCTGTTACTGTTAAAAACAGCATTAGCATGCTCCAAACATAATATTTGACTTTTCCTCGGATTTGCGACTCTCCTTAAAGCAATCTTATTTTAAGTAAGAGAATAGTCATGTTCTTGACATGCCAAACTTCCTGATTGCCTTTAGTTTTGACTGTTCATTCCTTCTGCATCATTATTTTCCAAACATTTTTAATAAATAATACATAAGCTACTGGGACATTACATAAAAACCTGCAGTTACAAATCAGTTAAAATCAGCGTAAGGTGAAATTTCCATGTAACATAGATGTGTTGAGGGGTTAAGGAGTTATTGAGTGAATAAGGATTATTCAGAATATAATTTTCTTTGCTTTAATACGTTGACACAGTATTTGGAGCAGAGATTTATCCTTCTGACCTATCCTGAAAGAAACTTCTATCAGTAACAAGGAATCATAAAGCCTTTCTGTCTGCATCCCTCTACCACCTCTCTGGGAAGCTTATTCCAAAGTCTGACAACCACTCACATGAAGAAATTTTTCCTAATAGCCAATCTAAGCCTCCTCTGGTGCATCTTGAGACAATTTCCTCTTGTCCTGTCTCTTGTTACCTGGGAGAAGAGACTAACAGCCTCCTCTCTACAACTTCGTTTCAGTCAACTGTAGAGATTGCCATCTCCCTTAAGCCTCCTTTTCTCCAGGATAAACACCCCCGCTCTATCAGCTGCTCCTCATCACACTTGTGGTCCTGTCCCTTCCCCAGCCCTTCTCTG